TCACATTATTCTTTTTCTGTCTTAAAAAATATTTTAGGAAAAATATCCATCCGTCTTCTTTTCCTATTTTCTGGCACAAACCATCATGTCCTATCCCAGGTTAAACTGTTGTTTGTTATAAAATACCACGTCTCTTTAACTCTATCACTTTTGTACAATAGCTGACTTTGACTGAATGATACTCTGTACAACTCTGTTCTGTCATAAGTCCTGCATTCACTTGTGTGGAATCACAATTGCAGACATTTAATGGAGATGATTACATTTTTCCCCATTTTACACTTGAGGATACAGACACTTTGGAAGGTTGTAATTTACCAGATGTCACACAACTAGTAAATGGCAGAGCCAGGATTTGAGTCTGTGTCTGTCTAGCTATGTAGCTGTCAGCCGTAGGCAGAAAGTTAACACAGTTGGAAATCCTTGAAGAATTCAGAATTCTTGGCTGGGGAAGGTAGGCACCTTTCCTTCACAGCAGATGGCAGATGCGGGAAGTGGAGTGGGCTTCCTTTGTTCCAGAAGGTGTGACTCCAGGAAATCATCCTAAGGTTTACTCAAACAAGCAATTTTACTTTTGTTATTCTGCACCACAGCCTCCTCTTCTAGATCATTCTCATTATCAGCATGAAACAAGTGTGTGATTTCTCCCATGTCATATAAGCAAACAAGCAAACCAAAATCACTTTTCTTCATTTCATACCTTCCTCTGTCTTCCATTACACTTTGGTCCTTGTACAGCAAGAGCCCTGTCTTCCTTCCAGTCCTCTTTCCTGTACCTCGACTTGAGTTACATTTTTTCCCATAATTTGGCATTGTTACCAGTAACCCAATTGCTAATTCTGTCATGTCCATATTCCTCATATTAACAAGTATTTTAAAAATTATCCTTTTTCTCTTTAAGAATTGTTTCTTCTTACTCTAGAACATCACTTATTCTTGCTTTCTGTCTCCTTCAATATCCATTCCCTGAAAGTGGCTTGTTGGCCAGTTGCTGGTCTGTCTTTGCTCCTCACCTGCAGTGATTCAGTGACCAAAGGATTGGTTTCGAATTTTTGTTCCTTTCTGAATTTCTTGTGATTAATTAACTCATTCTTAGTGCTCCTAGGCCTATGCCACACCAACAGTGACACAGGCCAAAGCAGGAATCCATCTCACTGGCACACAGGTCTCTACTGGACAATGAGGGAGTCTAGAAATATCTCTGGGAACACTAACCTGAGGGTAGTTGCTGTCCAAACACAGTGTGTATGTGGTGGAGACAGCCTCCTGACCACCTAAAGTGACAGTGAACTGGATCACACCAAGTCTCACAGACACAGAGGACCATGTAGTCTGAGTGGGGTGTGTGTCCTAAGTCCACTGCACAGCTGGCAATGATCTAGCTAAATATGACTCTGTCCCACTGGCATGCAGAAAGCTGGACAATGCCAGCACAGGTCTAAAGGCCTGTCTACATGTTATGGCCTAGATCCAAAGGTTTCTGCCTGTTGCTAGTTCCCACTATAGTAGGCTGAATTTTGGGCTCCAGGGCAAAGTCCTGTGTTAGCTTTTGTGCCCTGTTACCAGCGGGTAGAGTTTTGCTCCCATTCTGAAGCATCAGTTTCAAGGAGTGCTAGAGGCAGTCAGTAGCCTAACACAATTCTAGTAGCTCAGCCTGTCCTGGAGCAGAGGTTATGGGGTTCTGTCAAGCACTGGGGTTCACTATGTTGGGCCTAGCACTGCATGGACTTAATTCCTTCTCCCTCTCTCCCTACTGCTTGAAGTTATGGCCATGCTGGCATGGACAAGTCTTTCCTTTGGTCTCTTTAAGGTGTCTTTTCTTGTTATCAAACTAAAAACTAGACACTATGGTCTCTCAGCTGACTTCTTAACTCTTAGGAAGAGAGGTGGGGCTGTGAAGAGCTGTTCAGAATTGTGCACCTGAAGGAAGATTGCTGTTGGAGGATTTAATCAGCTGCCATCTTGCTCTGGTTCCTGGAAAATCTGCCTGGACTGAGTACAACCCAGAAAGTATAGATGTGTAGATAGAGCTATGTCTTCAGTTAGGGAACCTGGAGAGTTGATTTAATGAACAGTTACCTATTCAACAAATGTTTATTGAATAAGTATTGTGTACCACATGAGATTTTAGGAGCCAGGGGAGAAGAAATGAAAAGCAAAGTCCTTGCCCACCGACTGCTGTCATTTCAGCACAGAATGTTAGCTAAACATAAACTGCAAATGTAAATACTAATCTGCTAAGTAGACAAGTTTGGGGTAATAGAAATAGGCCCCTGATCTGTTTTACAAAATTCACCCAGGGAAAGCTGAGCAGAAATCTGCAAGGTATAAGCTGCTCAGATACTCAGTGAAAAGAACTGAAATATTTCTGGCAAATAAAAAATTGGTAATAGGTACTAGACATTTAGGGAGTAGGTATCTTCTAAATCATAGCCAATAACACTAGTTTCTAAATTTTTTAAAAAAGGCATTATTGCCCGTACTCTGAATAATACAAAGGCAGCTGTCAAAAGAAAGACCAGAGGGTCAGGATTCAGAAGACTTGAGGTCATGTCATCTGGTCACCCTTTACCAAATGTGTGGCATCAGGCAAATCATTCTATCTTGAATCCCTAATTTAACCCATAATCACTGAGTAGCTAGTGTTTTCTAGGTGTATCATAGTAGGTACTTATATACGATGGTAAGAATTTCCCAATGCAGAGGTAGATGAATATTGCCTAATTTTTAATATTTCCTTTGCTGTCCATCTCCCGGATTCCCTGTGAAAGCAGGTATTACACAAGGTATAGCTCCATGCTCTCAAATTGCAGTTGGATGTTCTATTGGAGCCATGAGGCCACCAAGTTGATATGGATGCACTTTATTTGCATATTAATTTCCCCTATAGTAAATACTTTACTGATTATGTTTTGTGGTACTTGGGTTAAACCCAGGGCCTCCTGCATACTACTTAAGTGCTTTACCACTGAGCTTTACCCTTAGCCCAACAAATGCTTTAAAACATTTTTAAATAAGCATATTATGTAGTGAAATGCAAATTTTATGTACATAATATAAACCAAACTTCAGAGAAATAGCTGATTTAATTTTTCATATATAAATGTGATTAAAATGTGATTATGTTATCTAAGAGGGTTATAGAAAACTAAAATTTCACAAACACAAATAGGAAGCATGTTGAGTTGATTAACATTGTGAGTACTAAACCAAAAGGGTTTCGTTCCTTGCATTCATCAGTAGAACCAGCACATTTGTGCAGATTTATTGTTGTAGGTATTTGAAGCATATTTCTTATGGTGTAAAGGATGCCAATCATAGTTTTGATTTTCATATATGGGCTCTATATGGGTAAGCAGAGTTTCTCAAGTCCTCATTGATTCATAGTCTTTACAGGAAAAATTATGAGGTCATATTAATAGTAGCAACCTAGAGTTCATTAACGTTACCTGTTAATGTGGGGGAGGGGGTCTTCAGGCTCTTCTGAAATTCATCACCAGTGGCTTTCTTCTTATAAAATCCTCTCTGCCCTATTTCTCTCTACCTTATGTGTTGCCTTTTTGGAGGTTATTAGTAGTTATGTCAAACATCTTTCTAAAATGTGTATAGATATTCAAGTAAATTGTTTATTAATGCCTTCTGTCTACTTTTCACCTAGACAGTAAACATTTTTATTACTGATGTATGTATCTTGTATATTCTGAAAGAAAATCTTTATTAATCATAAACATAGATTCCCAACTTTTGCCTTTTCTTTTTATGTTGTTCGCTCTGTATGTTGCTTATAAAAATTTTAAAATATACAATCAAATTTGACCAAATTTTCATTTCTAACATGTCCTTTTTGTGCATTGTTTAAGAAACTTTCCTTAACTTCAATGTAAAGTGAAATTCTTTTATGTTGCCTTCAATAGTAATACCATTCTTGTTTAGGTATTTAATCCAGTTATAAATTTTGAATGTGATGTTCTGCATATATTTTTGAACAAATTTTATCGCTTGTCAATCTTTCCTTGAAATTTACAGTCACACTGGTTATATGTTAGGTTTTTATTTATATATGGTTCAGCTTTGGCATCTGATTTTTCCCTGCCCTCTATCTCTTTTTTTAATATCTTTATAAGGAGTATTTATATATAGCAAGTATAGTTTTCTTGATAAACATTATAAATTGCTTTATATATTTTTGCCTCTACCCTTTCATGCAAATTTTAGAGTCATCCTGATAAGTTCTTTGGAAAGCCCTTTGAGATTTTGCATGGAGTTTATACATGAATTTGGCAAGGTTGATATCTTCATTTTATTGAACTTTCCAATTCAAAAGTATCACATATATCCAAAATTAATAGAGAGATAAGCTAATGGAGCAGAGGAAAGAAACAAATGGACCGACTCTTGTGCGGACAAATGATTTTTTGGCAAAGACAAGTGGAGAAAGTATAGCCTTCTCTACATGACTCCAGGAAAATTCATGCCAGGTGAATAAAATTCTCTTCATCTAACAATTAGAAAATGGTTCAAAATAGATCATAGGTACAAAAGCTAAAAGACAGAACTATAAAGTTTATGGAGGAGAACATAGAGAAAATCTTTTAATCTTGAGTTTGGAAACAACTTTTAAGATATGACACTAAGCATGATCCATGAAAGGAGAAATTGGTAAAGTGTATTTTATGAATACATATGTCAAAGGTTTCAGACTGTTTTCCTGAAGTACACACTCTGTGTTGCATGCATTACACCTCAATAATACTGCCTTAGAAGTAGGAGAAGAATGTATACGCTTTGCAAGAGTTCCAAAGGCATCATGTGTCCTCTGAGATGTCTTTTCCTAGTACTAGTGACTATCTTGCTTAGGCATTTGTTTTTCATGTTTCAGCCAATTCTCTTTTACTATACTGTAAACATCTTGTTTAGTTTCCCTTTAATCGCTCACCTTGTTTATTCAGAATGTAGACTTGCTTTTGGTAGTGTAATCTTATGGTTTGGATCTCTTCTAGGCTGATGCCAAAGCTGTGAGATGGAGAGTAAGTACAAGGAGATGCTGCTGCTGACAGGACTGGATAACATCACGGAGGAGGAACTGCAAAGGTTCAAGTTCTTCCTTCCAGATAAGTTTAAGCTCGCCAAGAGCAAAGTGGCGGCTGCAAACAGGATTGAGTTAGCGGACCTGATGATTCAAAGCGTGGGTGCAGCATCTGCGGTGAACAGGACCATTCTCATTTTCCAGAAGTTGAATTTTATGCAGGTAGCAAAATGTCTTCAGGAAGAGAAGGAGAAAGGTAGGTAGAAGTGCCCCACCTTTAAAGACAGAAGGGAGATGAAGCCCCAGAGCCTGATGGCTGCATCTGTTTGCAAGCTTAGTCTCCAGTCCCTCTGCCACCTTAACTATAAAGCAGCGTCTCCTGCAAATTCCACAGACTTGTTGCTGTGTTAGTTTGACCTCTGTCCTTCCAGTGGTCAGGGCTGCCATTCAGCATTTCATCGTTTCTTCATCCACCCATCTTTGTCTCCAGTCCACTTGCAGAAACTGTGACACAGCAAATCAGTGTTAGTGCTCAAGGCTTCATTTATATCATTTATGACATCCCTAAGGCTTTCAGGCTTTGCTGAAAGTTTGAAAATACAGAAAGTATAGCACTGAAAATCAACTACAGTGCCCATTATTTTTGCCCCTCCTCACAGACTGTTCAGTTCTTTCCTGGGCCAGCCTGCCTTGGTCTCAGTCTACCTTTATTCGGGTAATACTTGCTCTCTAGTTTAGGAATTCCCTTTTCTTTATCTCTAGTGTAGATGACACTATGAATTTCCCAGAACACAATGAATATGATTATATTGTTTAATAAATCACTGATCAATCTCTATCGATTATGCACATTTTAAGTTCTTGATTCCTTCCTAAGAACAATTAGTATATTCTTATATCAGAACAGCTAATAAGAGTCAAGAAAAGAATGCCTCACAGATAGACGCTCTAAAAGGGAAGACTTCAAATGCAGTCGTTGTAGGACACTAAGTAAAATCGTGTACAAAATCTTAAAGACTTTCAGAGTATTTGCCTCTGTGTGCAGTTTGAATGACCCTATCGTCTCATATTGTTTCTACCAAGGCTAATGAGACCCTTAAGTGATGACGTGAGGATGAAGTTCCATACAGATACAAGCTGTAATGTAATATTTGAGGCACTTTAGAGCAAGGACTCAAGGCTAGCCAGTTAGGAGATGTAGTTCTTAGATATGGCCACAGGGTGACAGTAAGCACACATAATTGTTCCAAATAATGCCTGTCTTTATCTAGAATTGGAAAGTAGGCTGTAGATGTTTGGTAGTATCTTTTTGCTCTTTTTTTTTTTGTGTGTGTGATGATAATACACCCTCCTTACTTAAATAGTTTATCCATTTACTGATCTAATGGCTCTGGAATTTCATCATCCTGATGAGGTAAAAATGATCCACTTGAGACCTGGTTGGAAACTCAGACCTGACTGGCAGTTTTGTATGCTGACCTAGAAGTCAGTTAAGTTCCTTTATTGCTTAAAAATTTCTACCGTGACCTTGGGCGTGGTGGCACACGCCTTTAATCCCAGCACTCAGGAGGCAGAAGCAGGTGGATCTCTGTGAGTTCAAGGCCAGCCTGGTCTATATAGTGAGTTCCAGGCCAGCTGGGGCTACTAGGAGAACCTGTCTCAAAAAAAACCTCCCCCCCCAAAAAAAAACCAAAAAATTCTATATTAAATCATCTTTAACCCTGCTTGAAATGCAGAAAATTTATTTGTGCCCCATGATGCCACTAGCTATTGTGGTAGGAAACCAATTTTTGTTTTGTTTCCTGGGAGCTTCAGCTTGCATTGATTTGCTGAATGTGCAGGATATTTGAATACCTTCCTATTCATGATCTCATCACATTAAAGCGGGGGGATAGGTGAATGAATTAAAGAATGTCATTAAACAGTGATGACAAGATCAATGATCATTAGAACAGGAAGACTGTGGAAATATGAGGGCAAGTAAGTATGATAAGAGAAAGCTAAACAGGTCTGATCAAAGTCTGTAAATAGCCTATAAAATTAAGATAGAAGGTTGGGAATGATAAGTCAAATAGATGAATAACATTCATCAGATGATAAGGAAAATGAGACATTTATGGTGGGAAGATAATGTTCTTTCAAATGTTCCTTGGGTCCATATGGATGAAAAGAAATTGTTGATGGAATGGGACAGAATGGCTCCTTTATTTCCGTGGTCTCCTTTAAGTCTTCTTTTTGTGCTCTTCTATGGTGTCAGTATGGAAGATGTTCTTACCTACACGTTTCTTAGAAACCAGTTTCATAGAACTCCCATACCATCCAAAGCCAGTTTCATAGAACTCACATACCATTGAAAGATTAGTTTAGCTTCTTGTAGGTGTGTCTGATCACTTTGACATTGCAGCACAATGTTATTTGCAAAATTCATGCTCCAAAACTGCACAATGGTGTTAAGGATTTTTTAAAAATTTGCATTGGGCTGCATTCACAGCTATCCTGGGGCTCATGTGGCCCATGGGTCATGGGTTAGACATACATACAAGAGCATAGATGTTTTAATAATATCCCTTTCAGAGTCAACTAAATTCTGCTGTTTGAATTATAGTGGCAGAGAACTTCCTCTGTGACAAGACAGGTCCTTCTGTTAGCTAATCACTAAATCATTTTGCTTTCCAATAAAATCAAACCAATATTCTAATATTAACCCCAAATGGCTCAGATTCTGTCAGAAACATCTAATAATTTTTTATGACATGGTTTGCATTAGAGTGCTTAAGGAATGGAACATGACCATCTTGATATTGGTCATTCAAAATCAGGGCAAGAAATTGCCTTTTCAGAATAAAATAGCAACAATCATAGATCTGGAGACCATATAATTGCATTGTGGTAACATATGAAGAGCAAGGGTGTCATTCATGTATCAATCTACTTGTCCATTCACAAATACTCACTGATTTCTTAATGGGTACCAAGAGCCTCTTTAAGTTCAGATAATTAGTATTAAGTCCAAAAGTCTGTTGTGCTATTGGTTATTTAGAAACACATTGTTTAATTTCTGCACATTTGTGAATTTTTCAAATTGTATCCTGTTACTAATTTTTGGTTTCATAATCCTGTGATCAGAAAGATGGTCAATACACTATACCTATTTGTGATCTAACATGTGATCTGTGCTGCAAAATATTCTTTGCATACTTGATAAGAATGCGTGTTATGTTGTTGGATGAATGTTCTCTTTATATTATTAGATCCATTCCCTCTAAAGTATAGTTTAAGTCCAATGTTTCTTACCGATTTTCTACTCTAGATGATCTGTCCAGTGTTGAAAGTACAGTATTGAACTGTCTTGCTATTATATCATCAGCTTTCTCAGCTGTGTGTATATTTATTGATAATAGTTGCATCCTTATTATTCATTGATTCATTTATTGTTGCATAGTTGCACTTTTGACTCTTTTTATGCTTTTTAAACTTAAGGTTTATTTTTGATATAAATATAGCTGCTTCTCTTTTTAAAATTAATTTAATAGAATGTTTTTCATCACTTTCATTTACAGTATATTTGAGTCCCACTGATAAAGTTTTATGTAGCCAATATATAATTTATTCTTGTTATAAAATTCATTCAGGCAGTCTATGTCTTAGATTGATGAATTGGTCCATTTACATTCAAGATAATTATTGACAGACATGGCTCAGTACTGCCATTTTGTAATTCATTTTGTAGTTTTTTGTTCCTTTTTTTCTGGTTTCTGTTCTTGATGTCTTCTTTTGTGCGTTGATGCTATTGTGTAGAAATGTGTGTTGAATTCTTTCTTTTTATGTTTTGTGCCATGATTATAGATTTTGCTTTGTGGTTACCATGAAGATTACATAAAACACCTTATATTATAGTGGGTTAATAACAGCTTGATTATAATTTCAAACATATTCTATGTTTTTGCACTTTCTTTCACATATTATAATATTCCTAAATTTGCATATTTTATAACATATTTCCTATAATAATTTATTGTATTTATGGTTGTTTTTAAAGATTAATTTATTATTTAATGCCCCCATTTATTGGATTCTTTATTTTTAGAATTTCTGTTTATCTTGTGAAAATTACTCCTATGCAAACGAATGTTTTGCCTACATGTATGTATGTGCACCAAGTGCATGTCTGGTCCCCATGGAGGTCAGAAGAAGGCATTGGATCCCCTGGAACTGTAGTTACAGATGGTTGTTAGTCACCTTGTGGATGCTGAGACGTGAACCTGAGTCCTTTACAAGAGCAGCCAGTGTTCTTAACTGCTGAGCCATCATTACACCTTGTATCATAGGGTTTTAAAAATGCTTTTTCATTTAAACCTTATATTAGAAACAAATTTTATTTATGCTCTTCTATCATAGTACTAAACATTTTCTAAAAATGACTCTGATTTCTGCCTCTGAATTTTGTACATTTATGCACTTTATATTATAAATTAACTACATTTTTTAGTCTCCCTATAGCCCCAGGTGGGCTGGAACTTGCTATGTAGACCAGGCTGGCCTGCCTCTGTCTCCTGTGTGCTGGGATTAAAGGCAAGCCCTGTGCCACCATGCCCAGTTCATTTTTTAAAACATATTTTTATTATTCCAAAGATAGGTAATTTTAAACACATTTTTCCAGAAATAACTTGAATCAGGTTACAATATATATACACACACACAATGAAGTTTAAGAGGGGAAACTGGAATAAGAAATCAAAGACCAAAGGATTTGCCAATAGGGGTCAGTAATTTTGGTGGGACAACATATCCCCAATCCCAGCACCTGTGAGTTTGAGGCCAGCCCAGTCCACTTAGCAAGTTCCAGGCCAGCTGGGGCCACAGGGAGACCCTGTTCCAAAAAAAAAAAAAAAAAAAAAAAAAAAAAAAAAAAGTTAAAAAAAGAAAAAGCAAAGACGAAAAGATCAAAGGATTGCCAACATCCTTTGGGGTCAACTTTGGTGGAATAATGAAGGTTTCTATTAGCTCTGTTTCTTTTTTAAAGTCCTAACTAGTTTATTGGGCTTGGTAACAGAGCATAGGGCAGGGGTTTATTTACAGAAGAGTGGGTGCCTCCCCATTTATGGGTGTGCTGTAAAGACCACACTCAAATATAGATCCTGTGACTTACCGACAGCAGCACAAAATAGTGAGAGAGGTGCCTCATGGCTTTCTTGGCTCTTATATCCTTAGCCCCCACCCATGCAGCTAAGGTCAATTGATTGGGTAGGAGGAGTA